CTAGGGAGGGATCAGAGATGTATCTCGATGGGTCGAACTGTAAGCGTAAGTATATGGAGAAAAAACGAAGGGTGGGTCAAAGAAAATTGCTGACCTTCTCAGAATTTGCAAACTTGCTCTCATCGCTCAAGATCAGTGATAACTCTGCCGATACTACTGTATTTTTTGGCACAGGATACCCGCCAATCTCGGTATCCGAGTCAGCTAATCGGTAAATGTTTATATTCAATATTGATGACATCCGTTGTATCTCCTGCAGAGAATAGAGAAGATCATATTCATTCCAAGAATTATATACCGTAAGTGCAGCAACGAAGTACGGTGTATTCTGCTTATCGGCAAGTGAAAGAGGTCTGGATCCCCCAGTAACTTTGAGCAGTTCTTCTCTTACATCGGTAATGACCTAAATCTAGCAGTTTAGTAAACAGTCTTGCCAGCCCACGTTTTCTAATCATGTAATTTGTTTATGCAATGCCACCAGTGTTATTGATTTGAAGGAATCTGTGGAAGAAGAAAGTATACTCAAGCAATTTTACCACTCACCTCAGGATTTCTCAGCAAGTAGATCATTGCCCAGCACAAAGTTGTCGACGTCGTTTCTTGTCCGGCCATCCATAGGTCCAAGATGTTGACGACGAGTGACTCATCACTGAAAGTTCTGCTTTTATGCTGCATAGTATTGAGACAACGTTGCAACTTCATAAACGAAATAAGTAAGAGCGAAAAGGAGTGTTCACTGGAGGCTCGTTTCTACTCAATATCTTCTGAGCAGCGATTTCGCAACTTTTGTTTTTGTTCCAAATTATTCCAAAGTAATGAGCAATTCCACTTCGGAAGCAAGCGAGAAACCTCTCTTTTAAGATCTAGTATTATGCTAAAATTCTACGCCTTATTAAAATAATTTTTGGAAGGCGTTCCTGACACCAATGTCCGCGAGGGTCGCGTGCGCAGTTTCGGCAACCGTATTTTGTTCGTTCAGTCTCTTTTAGACTTTTCTGCATGCAAACTATAGCTGCCACCCTAATTTCACGCGTACAAGAAGGGGATGATTTTTTTCCAAAATCGGGCAGCCCAAACACGGCGGAAGAGCGCCCAAAGGGCCTCATATTGCTTGAGAGAATCCTGCGGCATAAGGACTTTCCGAAACACAGTGAAGCGGCGAACCCGATTTGGCCGATTTCGAATTTTCAGGTTGACGCGCTATAACATTCTGAAAAGTCTAGACTTCTATGCGATAAAAATCATCGGAAGCAGCAAACCTTCTGCA